CAAGTTGTACCATAAAAGAATTTGGACAAAAAGTATAGGTACAATCTAAAGTTGTACCATAACGTTAATGATACAATTTCAAGTTGTATCATAAAAACAAAAACCTATAACACCAATGCTATATAACATTGTAAAATTCCTCCGTGAATAACATATAGAAGCACCCTTCTTTTGTCAATAGTAGTATGCGATTGGCCCATATAGTTTCAAAATGTTACTAAATGTTCTTTTTCAATCTGCTAAATAGAATGACCCTACAAAAAATTATAGGTGTCAAAACAAAAACATGAGCCAATCCGAGTAACCCGCCCAACCAATCCGATCCGCAACTCGATTTGACTAAAAATCAATGACCCGCAATCCGTCCGACCCGCAATCTGGTTGACCCGTAACCCGATTAACCCATAATCTGATTGATCCGCAACCTGCTTGAACCGAACCCGATTGTCCCGCAGCCCGCTTAATTTGCAACCCGTTTGACCCGCAACCCGACTAACCCGGACCGATTAACCCAACCCAAACCCGCCTGATTGGCACAATATTATACTATATAATATATTTTAGTGTATAAATATTATATGCAGATAACATATATATAATTTATGTGGCTTGGCCTATTCTTATTTTATCTTTCCAACCAAGAACAAAGTTTTACTTTGTGTTGACAATTCATTAAATTGAATCATATAAAAGTCTCAATAAATAAGTAGAAATCTTAGGAGGTTACAACATTATATATTAATCACCAGTTAAACAGAACAGAGAATGATAAAAAGCAAGATTCAACATATATATTTCCAATATAGCATCATGCCTTTAAATGTGGAGGTCGATGCAAGTGAGGGGCAGAGACGATGCGACAGGTTAAAATTATAACAAATTGATTTAAACAATTTTTAATTTAAACAATTTACAATTATAACAAATTATTTTCATGGACTAGGTGGCTTCTTTGATAGTCTTTCTAATTCAAGGTCCTCGGCTTACCAAAAGAATTTTTTTTTTACTTTTTTGTCAACTAAATTTTAAAATAAAAACATAACTTGCAACTAATAGTTCACAACTTAGAAATACCATCCTTAAAATTTATTTTCTGAAACGCAAAACCCTAAAACTGACTTAATTAAAATTGGTTGTAGCTTACAACAAGTATTTATAAATAATAATCATTCACACACTTGTATCAAAATCTAAAATGATTTCGGATTAGGAAGCTTAGGATTAGGACTTATGTTCTTCACAATAATATAAAATGTAAAATTGACTTAACCTACGTTCTTTACATAACCTAAGTTCTACCAAGAGTTTCATGACATGTAACTAGAGTTTAGGGTTTAAGGTTAATGCATAAGGTATTACGGTCATGATTTAGAGTTAGGAAGATTGTGTCGTATGTTCTTCACAATAACCAAATATAAAATTCACTTAACTAAATTACATTATTCACATAACATACATTCTACCAACAATTTCATAACATATAGCTACAGTTCATGGTTTAAGGTTAATGTATAGGGTATAGGGTCATGGTTTAGATGACATATAGCTACATTCTTCATGGTTATGCTTTACAATTTAGTGGTGTATGGTTTATGATTAAGGAGATGGGTATTCAATGAAAAACTTCATTAACCATCAAGAAATATATAGTAATAGTAGAGGTGGTGGTCGTTTTTTAGCCTTTCAAATTTCATCTAACGAAGTTATCTCCTTTTAAACTAAAAACATACAGAAACTTGAAATTTTAAAAGCATATGACTTTTCATTAAGATTAAGTAGCCCACTAACTCTTCCATTTGTATTTCTTTGGTGATAGATATAATGGTTTTATATTTTTATTATTTAATTTGTTTTTAACAATTAATTTAACTATTGGTAGAAATACACATCTACACAATAAATAAAAGCCAAATGAAAAGACTAGAAGCCCCATTTCAAATTTCCTGCATCCATAGTGAAAGTAAGAAGGACATTTTGGTCTTCACAATTACTTTTTTTTATTCATTAAAAAGACACTTACTAGGATTCAAACCATGACCACTTTAAAGAAAAGCAAAGATCATAACCAATCACACTAAGTACATTTGTTGTATCTTTTTAAATTAAAAACATATAATCGCAGAGAAGAAAAAACTCTTCCCCGATTTCAAATTCCCTGCTCTATGAGCGTTTGTAGGAAGGGTAGAATAGGGAGTATCAATTTTTTTCTTTTTCCACTTTGGAACGGACCAACTTACCATAAACATGTGGATTTAAACGGGTCCAGGAGTGTCAATTTTTTTCTTTAAGTCCTTTTATTTCTCCGTGGTGGTAAAATATATATGAAAAGGCAAAAACAATACTCCTTTTATTGCTAAAAAGAAAAAAAAATTAACAATAAACTAATGCATGAATTCTAATAGACAAACCGCTAATCATAAAATAAAAGAGTTGAATGGGCCTGACCTACACGGAATTTGCCCATCAAGTAAAACAAATGAACATCATGGGTTTGTCATTCTAAAACAAGCTATTTTCTTTAGCATAATATATATTATGCTATTATTTTATATCTTAGTTGCTAAAATATAATGTATTTTAAATTTATTCAATGGTTCAACCTCGACCAACCCAATTAGTTAAATTTTTATCATTTCAAATATATATCATGTAATTATTTGATATCATAATGATTAAATTATAGTGTATATTATAGGGAATCGTTTGGTATTTGTTAGTAAAAAACTAAACAGAAAGATCTATTTGGTTATTTTTAACATTAAAACGATCCTAAACATTTTCAGTTTCCTTTCGAAATTCTATAGTTTTATTCCCGAATCAGTGATGTGCAAATGGCGAATTGCAGTCATCTCTTTTCTTTCATTATTTTTTATTTTCAAATAGAAAGTTTAAAAGTAAAGAATAATTAGAGTTTGGCATGGGTCGGTCAAACATGCTGAATTTCAAGTTTTAGACCGTTTTGATCAAGTCTAATTTGTAATCACATTGTTCCCTGATACCCGATAAAAATCTCAATCCAAACTAGTTTGGCAAGTGAGTCCGTGTTTACCACAATTTTCTAGGGATACATGAACGGTGGTTCCTATCCCAAATCGTGTTGTTCATTCTTGATTTCTTTAGATTTTATCATGGTTTGGCAAAAAACCAGAAAGCACAATGATGACAAGATGAAAGTTTTATAAAGCAAATTAATCGGCCAACGGGCCGAGTAAAAGATAGCAACGATTGTGAGATGCTCATTTCCCAAAAACCGGCGAGATAGGTGATTTTTTATTCGATTTTCTGGAATTCGATTTCTTTAAAACTTACTCCGCCTCATCATATTACCAGAAACTATATTGTTTCACAATGTAACAGGTACTTGATTTTGGTTCATAAGGCTGATTTTTGATTCGTTGCATCATTCATGTATCTTTCCTACTAAAATTCACTATTTTTATCACGTGTTTCCCAAAAAAAAAAAAACTATACAACAATAAGCTATACACACCATTACATTATCAAATTTCATACCTCACCTTCCTCCTGCCAAATGGCCAGGGTCCACGCTAGTTTCAAATATTTTGAAAACTTGTGAATGTATATCGTTAATATATCATATTTAAATAACATTATGACCAACGAATCGGACAACAAACTATCGTATAAAATTTATCATATATTGATTATCAAAAAAATAAGATTTCTTATCTACAATGAAAAGTATTAAAGAAAGGAAAAACTAGATGTTCACCAAAAAAATTGGGGGAAATTTTTTGAAACCCAAATTTAAAATCACATTTAAACCCATCTCCCACCCAAATATTTGGTCTCAAATTCCCTCCCTCCAAACCGTAAAAGCACTTTTGAAAATTCCTTCAAATATTTGGTCCAACTTCCCTCCCTCTAAAACCCATAAAAGTACTTTCGAAACCCCCAAATATTTGGTCCGAGTTTTCTCCCCCAAAACGTGTAAAGCCTCATTTTCTGTAACAAATTGAGTGCGTTCAATGCACTCACAACTCAAAAACTAGTCTTAAGGTGTTGAATTTTGAATTTTAATTTGTACAATTAGTGTAATATGATGATATAACATATGATAACAAATAATTAGTCGATTACCCTAGACCTCCAATTTTGAGTTCTATTCCTAAACTCCAAATTGTAAACCCCACCCTAACCCTATGTCTCTAAACTCTAAATCCTTCAAATTAGAGCAAATCTTTAATGGTTTTTGTGCAAATTTATGTGCGTTATTGTTCATCACATCATAAGTGATGATTGACATCATTTTGACATGAATCACATGTTTAAAAAGACGGTTATAAAGTGAGTGCACTGAATGCACAAAAAAATGTGAGTGCACCGAAGACGCCACCATATATTAACTATAAATTATTTTCTAATTTTACTCAGTTGACATTAGTTAACAAGGGGAAAAACTTGCCTCTCCTCCCTATTTGTTTTAAATTGGTGAATTTGCAAAATAGTGAATATGATTGGTGAGTTTGTTTTAAATTAATATAATAACTAATCATTTAAAAAAAAGATTTAATATACTTGTATATCCAAAACTTTTACGGTTGTGCCAATAAAAAAAATAAGATACCAAACAACCCAGAACCCGACCTGTTCGTAACCCGAGTAACCCGCAATCCGATCAACCCGAACGCGATTTACCCGCAACCCGAATGATTCACAACCCAACCAACCCAAACCCGATTTGCTCGCAACTCGATCAACCCACAACCCGATCAACCCGCAAACCCGATAAACCCGCAATCCGATCAACCCAAACCCGCTTTACCCGCAACCCGATGAACCTGTAACCCATTTGAACCCGACCCGAGCCCGCTCGATTGACACCTATACAAAAAATTGTACCGAAATATAAATAATAAAACCGTGAAAGAACTAAGATACACCCACAACGAACGAACCATCTTGGATTGGTGTGGTGTAATATATGTGTTGAAACCGATTCAATTTTTACCAACATCATCTAATGTCTCCAAATTTACCCTAAACCGTGAACCCAGTACCCATGAATGAAGCGATTTCCCATTGTACTTTTGTTCTGTGCAGAGAATGGCAACAAGGGCAAGCTTGGGAAGGCAGCGTACTTGGAGAAGTGGATCACAACAATAGCTCCATTAAAAGCCGGCGAAACAGCCTACGATGTCAGCTTCGAGTGGGAAGAAGAAGAGATCGGAGTTCCAGGAGGGTTTCTTATCAAGAACAATCACCACAACGAGTTCTTCTTAAAGTCTCTCACGCTTGAAGATGTTCCTGGGGAAGGAAGAATCCACTTCCCATGCAACTCCTGGGTTTATCCTGCCAAGAACTACACCAACGACCGCGTTTTCTTCACAAACAAGGTTTGCTCAACGCTGCAGTTTGTTCGTGCTTCTGTTAGGTTAAAATGACTCCATGGTTTGCTCAATTGTGTGACCATTTACGCATTTAACTGTGATTTCTACTTGCTGCCTCTGCTCTGATCATGCAAGTTAACGTTTTCCTCCTGTTATTTTTGAGCAACAGTCGTATCTGCCACATGAGACGCCATTGCCATTGGTGAAATACAGAGAAAAAGAGCTGGTTGCTTTGAGAGGAAATGGACAAGGGGAGCTCAAGGAATGGGACCGAGTGTATGATTATGCTTGCTACAATGATTTATGGGATCCTGATGATGGTGATGCAGATAATGCCAGACCAACTCTGGGAGGATCGGCTGAGTACCCTTATCCTCGTAGGGGAAGGACTGGCAGGCCGCCCTCTAAATCAGGTAAAGTTACAGATGGCCATTAATACCCAAATTCATAAATTAAATCCAATTCATCCATTAAAATATCTAACAAATTCGATTCATTCAAATTCAATTTATTTTATCCAAATTCAATTGAATTAGTGGACTCATAGATTGGATTCATGGATTGTTGACAAATTACATTTTAGTTTTTATACTTTTTATATTTTACAATTTTATTTTTTTAGAAGAGAAGTATCCTTGGAAAATAATGTTTTAGCACCTAGAATTTTTCAACAGGACATTTTATTACCTAAACTTTTCAAAAATTTCGTAACGGTCTAAAATTTGGATGTCATTTGGATCCATGAATAAATCTACCAATCCATTTGATCCAATCAATTTGATACCTGTAGGTAAATCTCATTTCCAACGGAATGTAACATATGTGTTTACTAGCCGGAGTGACTTTCAATAACAACATATTTAGATGAAATTTTAAGTGAGGAATTAGAATGGATGAACAAAATATAATATTGGTAATTGGATGCATGGAAACTATGTCTACCATCCTATTTACATTTCATTTTGATTTCTGAGCATTGTGTCTTAGCAGATCCAAATGTAGAGAGCAGGCTATCACTACTGATGACCCTAGACATATACGTCCCAAGAGACGAGAGATTTAGTCACCTGAAGCTGTCGGATCTCCTTCTTAACGACCTCGAAGCCATCGTTCAAATCGTGAAGCCTGAACTGGAGGATCTGTGCTCTGGAAATGGGAATGAATTTGATTCATTTGATGATGCTTTGACGCTATACGATGGAGGGGTGAAGCTCTCTGGAGGTCCTACACTCGATAACCTCTGGAAGAATAATCCTTTAGATATCATCAACCTGAAATACCCTTTGCCAGAAGTGATCAGAGGTACATAAATAAGTACGGTATGTATACAGGAAGGATGACAATGGAGATTTATCGATGTTAGCTCACTTTATTTCATCTTTGTGTTGATGATAATTTTTGAGCAGAGAGTAGGACTGCTTGGAGAACTGATGAAGAATTTGCAAGGGAAATGTTGGCTGGGCTCAACCCTGTTATCATTAGTCTTCTTCAGGAGTTTCCACCGAGGAGCAAACTGAATGCTAAAGTCTATGGCAATCAAGACAGTTCGATTAGTGAAGAACACATAAGGCATTTCCTGAAAGGATTGACGGTAGCTGAGGTAAAGTATCTCTTCTGTTGTGAAATCGACTCAACTTTTAATTAAATGAAAATAATCACATACCCGCAAAATTAACAATAATAATAATGAAATTGGCCCAATAAGCTTCGTAGCATCCTCATCTGGCCCCTACAAATTTGTCCCAGATATTGATGAACTGAACTTAATATTTTGTTTGGCTCTTCAGGCAATCAAGAGCAACAAGCTATTCATACTAGATCACCACGACACAGTGATACCATACCTAAGAAGGATTAACGACAACACCACCTCCAAAACATACGCAACAAGAACAATCCTATACCTGCAAAACGATGACACATTGAAGCCAATGGCGATCGAGTTGAGCTTGCCACATCCCGACGGAGACCAGTTCGGAGCCATTAACAAAGTCTACACTCCACCACCTGCAGATCAAAAGGAGGGAAGCCTTGAAGAAATCATTTGGCAGTTGGCCAAAGCATATGTAGCAGTAAACGATTCTGTCTCCCACGAGCTCATTACCCACTTCTTGCACACTCATGCCGTGATAGAGCCATTTGTAATTGCAACAAACAGGCAGCTGAGCCTAATCCACCCGATCTACAAGCTTCTGCACCCTCATTTCCGAGATACTATGAGCATAAACGCGATTGCGAGACAGATCCTCATCAATGGCGGAGGAGTGGTGGAGTTGGCGTTCTACCCTGCCAAGTACTCCATGGAATTCTCTTCTTCACTATATAAAGACTGGAACTTCACTGAGCAAGCCCTCCCTCAGGATCTCAAGAAAAGGTAAATTGATGACGAGTGATAATGGAAGATAAAAATTACCAAGTCTTGAGCTCATCCAGGCATTTTATCGAACACCTTGCAGGGGAATGGCGGTTCCTCACCCAGAGTCCAAACACGGCCTCCGACTTCTGATCAAAGACTACCCATACGCCATCGACGGGCTTGACATCTGGTCGGTGATAAGAAACTGGGTATCCGATTATACATCACTGTACTACAAAACCGATGAGGCGATTCGGAGTGATACCGAGCTCCAAATGTGGTGGAAGGAACTGGTGGAGGTCGGCCATGGGGACAAGAGAGACGAGCCTTGGTGGCCCAAGATGGAAAATCGAGAAGAGCTCATTGAATCGTGCACGACGATGATATGGATTGCGTCGGCGCTCCATGCGGCCACGAATTTTGGGCAGTACACTTACTCCGGCTACATGCCCAATCGCCCCACCAACAGCCGGCGATTCATGCCGGTGGAAGGAACGGCAGAATTCGAGGAGCTGAGAGAGAACCCAGATAGGGCTTTCATGAGGACGATCACGGCGAAGCTTCAGACGCTGCTGGTGATCTCGCTGATTGAAGTTTTGTCAATGCATTCTTCGGACGAGGTTTATCTAGGTCAGCGGGATACAGCGGAGTGGACGGTGGATTTGGAGGCGACGGCGGCGTTCGAGAGGTTTGGGAAGGCATTGGCGGAAGTTGAGGAGAGGATTGTGGAGAGGAACAGAGAGGAGAAGCTGAGGAATCGGCATGGACCGGTGAAGATACCATACACTCTGTTGTTTCCGTCCAGTGGGGCTGGTATGACCGGCAAGGGGATTCCAAATAGTATTACTATTTGAAAAAATTGGATTAAATTATTAGAATTTCCTTACTCGTGTGGTTAGTAGCGCGCAATTTAACTTTAACTTTTGTATGCATAATTGCTCTTGATAATTTATAGGATTATAGGTATAATATGCCCATCAGTTCACCTATAACGTTTTTTCAAATATGTCCCTCTACTACTGTTTACATCAAACATGACATTGTACATTGTAAAAATGATCAAACATGCTCTTTTGTTAAAATTTTCATCCAAAAACCGTTAACCAAGGCCGAACTTTAGTTTGGGCGACACAAATGACTAAAATATCCCTAATAAATCCACTTTAGAATTTTTTGGGTTCTTTTGTATAATCAAATCATTCAAATAATTTCACTTTGAAAGACCCAGATAGGGATGGCAATGGGTAGGGTCGGGTGCGGGTTTACCCTATACCAACTCCTAACCCGCCGGGTAGAGCTTTCTAAAATACCCGACCAAATAACCACCGAGTATGAAAATTATATAACCATACCCTACCCACCGGGTAACCACGGGTATTCAGGTAACCATTGGTACGAATCCTAAACTATGAACTTATACACATATATGCACATACATACTCTTGTCCATTAAAAATTCTCAATACTTGTAACTGTTCTAGCTTCAACAATCCACACAAATAAAAATAGCAAACACATAATAATTGTTCTTACTTCTACAATCCACACAAACATAATAATCGTCTACATCTTCATCATCAATAATGGTAGCTAAACTCAATTTCTCAAGCTAAAATAAATTTCTCAAGGGAAACTGATCCTTTGGCTAGCGGGCCGGGTATAACGGGGCGGGTATTATCGATTACCATATCCGTACCCTACCCTTTATTTTGAAACCGGGTATTATCCGTACCCGCCCCTTAACCCGTCAAAGCGGGTAATTACCCTCGTTGACCGGTTACGGTCGGGTAGGGTACCCATGGTTACGGGTTGGATTGACATCCCTAGACCCAGAGAAATAAAACAGGGGACAAACTGACATTTTCCCTCCCACTTGTCAATGTCGGGTCGTCTAAATCTCAATTCAACCATGATTGACGATTTTTTCAATGGAAATTTTAACAGAAGGGCATGTTTGATAATTTTTTCAAAGTACAAGGGCATATTTGATGTAAAAAATAGTAGAGGGGCATGTTTGATAAAACGTCATAGTAGAGGGGCATATTATACCTATAACCCTAATTTATATCATTACTTTTTTTTTTATCCAAGATAAGCCCCCAGGGCAAGGCCGAACATAATATATAAAAAACAGATAAAAATAAAGAACGGTAGCCCGTATGCAACCGGACTCCCGATAAAAGAGCCTTTTTTGCCACGAGGTGGGCAGCTCTATGAAAGCTCCGAGGAGCAAAGACGCGAAACTGACACAGGGAGTCGAGAAGAGAGAAAGAACTTCCCTTAAAATATCTCCGACTTTAGAATGGGAAGACTTCCTCGAAGTAGCATCCTAATGACCGGTTGAGAATATCCTCGAGAGGTAACAACCAAACATTATGAGTAAGACACTTTCTCATAGTATTAGCATAATAAATTTTATCAAAAGCAAATGAGACAGTTCCATCACCTGAAAATCTGGTAAAGTCAGTTTGCACATCCTTGAAGATTCTTTGTACCCAATCAAACCGGATCAATATACTTTTGCTAGGGCAGGTTATATCTAACCCCAAAAAGGCATCCACATCGATGCTAAAGATCTCTATCTCAAGAGATTAAAGAATGCCCTTTAGGCATTAGCGACATAACCGAATGTATAACATCAATTGTATAATTCATAAAAAGAAGTAAATTAGCTCTACATTTGAAGAAGGATCCGAATTACCCAATAAACAACATTCTTAAAAGTGAATTACCAAAGATAATGAAGTAAAATTTCTATCTAGCAAAAATTAAGAGGAAGAGGAAATGAGACCACTAAAAAAGGAAGTTTAAATGATAAACAATAATGATAATAATAAAGCATATTTAAAGAGGAAGAAACTACCCGAGAGGCAAAGCCAATTAATTATTTCTCTTCTAATCAACAATAATTAAGAATGCATGAATAGGGAAAGTTAGAGGCAAAAAGTAATTAAGACTCTAATTAGTCCTAGGGGAAATAAATAAAATTCAAAGAGAACAAAAAGAGTAATCGACTCGTAGTTGGATACAAATGAAGGGTCTTCCTACATGAATTATGAAAAGATAATTATATATTGATCAGAAAAAAATAATTACATCCTGGAATTTAACCAAACCATAAAATCAAAGAAGCGACTCGTAGTTGGATACAAATGAAGGGTCTTCCTAGCCACCAAATGGACTACCATATTTACTACGCCAACCTACAAACCGCATATTGAACCCTCTTTTGTTTGATAAGCAATACACAACTTCGTCAAAAAGAGCTCCAATCCGGCTGTCTTTGATATCAGAATGATTAATTTTATACATGAATTATGGTCAAACGTTTGTATCCTATGTTATTTCCAAAGACATTCAAAAGCGATGGTAATTTTTACCAAGAAAGCCTAAAATTTTGTTTAGAGTTCGGATTTGGCATTAAGATTTGTTCGATCCCATAGGAAACTTACAATTGATTGTGTTGAGGGATATGGATACAAACTCCGTGAAGAATATCATGTGTGGGGCACTGAAAATCACTAGACTCTTCTTGTTGAATCGAATTTCCAAAACCCACAAAAAACAAACTACATGATTTGAGTGTTTTAGATGAGTTCATGTGTTTTATCCAAAAGTTTAAGCTAATCTTATTGGTTGTTAGTGGATAAGGTGGTTAATGAGGAATTATTAGTTAGTAAGTAGTTAAGGGTATTGAGGTAAATTGTGTATTTACTTATTTACAATTTAACCTAATTTCATAATTAAAGGAGGACTAATCGTCAATCCTTTGAAAACTCTAAAATCATAAAGTCGCCGGTTAGGTTTTGTTCTTTGGAGACGTCTTTCTACTAACATTCTACCACCTTCGACCCAGCGACTATCTGTCATTCTCATTCTTTGACGCCGCCGCGTTTTCCCTCCCTTCCACAAATGCCTAGTAAGCTACGCCGGCCAAGCCTAGGCTGAAAATACCTCGGGCTACTGTCTTAGATACCTTGCCGGAGTTGAAGTTTGTCATTTTTGTTTCCTGTCGTGAAGATGTCTTTTTTGTTTGTTTGTTTTACTGACCTGTGTCGTTTGTCATCGTCCTGCAGCTTTCGTTTGTCGACGGTCAGCCTTAATCTGGCGGTCTTCTTACCACTGCTGCCAGGATTAGTCATTGTCGGCGTTCATGTACTTTAGTCATCGCCAGCCTCTATACATCGAGGTTTATCTGATATTGCAACCAGTCAAGGCCTTGTTGGTTAGTTGGATGGAATATTGTTTGTGACTAATTTATTCATTAGTCATTCATGTGTTTTTGCTTGTTTTCAATACTACTTAAAACAATACTACTTATTGGCATTAATAAGAGTAGTGGTTTAGTTTGTAACATATAATGCATGTTTGTGCATGTGGTATAATTCCAGCATAATCACCTTCAGGTCATTAACAAAATGATGTTGAGTATTAACGTTGTTCTGTGGCATTGACAACGTTATTTCTTTGCATTATGAATATTTTTCGGGGGCGCATGGACACACCGATAACAATCTCGATGTTGTTGATAACATTAATCCACGGGTTCCTCCTCCCCTCAAGGATGTAGTCGATGTTAGCCGGGGTGGGCGTCCTCCGAACGAAGACATTGATGGTTAGTATCTGAAATTCTTGATTTTGTCAATTTAATCATGAGTAATTCGAATTCACTTTACTCTAGATCACCATTAACGGTATCTCAAGAAAATATCAACAGTTTGTTGTCATCATTAATAATTAGAATGTAGCTAAACCAATATTAGTAACACTATTATTAAAAATATTTGTGGTCGTCGTTAATAATTAGTAACACTATTAGTTGTCATTTGTTAATGTAGCTGTACATACGTGTTGTTATTGTTGTTTTTCTTAAGGTGGCAGAGTTTTTTGTTTGAACAATGATTTGGGCCCAAATGTACACATTTTGTCCCTTATTTCTTATTCGTTTATCTTAGTATTTCATCATTCCTCGACATATTTCACGCTAGGTTGTGCTTGTTTTGATACATTTCAGGTCCTAGCACGTGTGGGAGGGCCGAGGTCGAATTTTGGGATAATTGGAGGTCAAAAAGTGCAAAAAATCGAAGAAAAGTCTGAAGACGTCCAGGAAACAGCCGCAGTTCACGGCCGGACGAGGCAGTTCACGGTCTCCTAAGACCATAAACTTCGACCACAAACCGTGAACACCGAGGCGTCCAGCGAGGTTCCTGAAGTTACTGACGACAAGGCAGTTCACGGTCTCTAAGATCGTGAATTGTGGCCATTGACCGTGAACCCAGGAAGCAAAGCGGTGCGTTTTGAAGACGACTGAGTTCACGGACGCGTTTAGGTGTTCACGACCGTGAACTGGCCAACGCGTCCGTGAACTGATCACTTTCGGGCAAATATGAAGACAGCAGCGGAGAGAGAGAAAGAGGAGATGGTTTTTGGAGAATGAACACTTTCTTTCTTTAGGGTTTCAACCCAAAACACCAAAGGGGAGTTCTAGTGAGTGAGAGAGAGAGAGAGAGAGAGAGAGAGAGAGAGAGAGAGAGAGAGAGAGAGTGATCTTGGAGCTTAATTGAAGGCATTGATCAAGGTTGGAAGCTTGGAATCAAGTATAGAAGAAGAAGAAGATCTAGAGGTTTCTTTGTAATCTCCCCCCCCCCTCTCTCTCTCTAGAAACTCACTCTTTTCTCTTGGGTGTTGTAGATCCCTAACTAATACTCTGTAATTACTTGTTTATATGGAATGATTGTCATTGGGTATTGTTTAATTCAATGATTAAGGTATTATTCATGTTGATTGTGCATGCTTGTGTTTAGATTCGATCATTTACGATAATTCTTTTTGCATTGTAAACGAAAAACAGCTTAGTTTATAAAAAAAAAATTATCATGTTATCATCATTTTCGACATAGAGTTATTAATAACATGTAATATGGTTATTAACCATTTAGATGCAATCATTATCAATGATTTGCTTGTATTTTCAAACGCAACGCATCTTAGTTATAAATGGTTTAGAATGTCTATTTCAATGTCAATTTTTAATATTTGTAATCT